TTTTATTTTATTTTATTTTATTTTATTTTATTTTATTTTATTTTATTTTATTTTATTTTATTTTATTTTTTATCCTGATGACCGAAAAATGAAAGTGATTAAAATTATATACTACTGTTTAAATAAATGAAAAATAAAATCATTTAAAATACTTAAAAAGCATACTTTAAATACTCAAATACATATTTAAAATGCATTTTATATTTTATTTTATTGCTGATAATCAGTACGTTAATAAGATTACATTTCTACATACTACTTTGTTTAAATAAATTAATAATAAAATCTTGAATTTAGGCATCACAACAATAAATTATACAGAATTAATTTTTTTTTTTTTTTTCAATTTGATTTGATTGATTTATATCAATTTGGCTTTGAAATGATCTAAATGTAAAACTAGGGGAAATGAGCATGCACAATTAATTATCCAATATGGATAGCCCACTGATAAATGAAAAAATCTTCAGTATTGCCAATTGATAATCAATATGGTACCCATATATTGTGCATCCTTAGAGTAGCAGGACTTCTGCAGGGAATTGAGAGTCTCTCTTCTCTTCGCTCTTGTTTTGCAGCAGGTGTGATATGAAATGACAGTTCATTTTAATGCACACAAACCACAAGATGAAGAAAAAGCTAAGCTTATCTAGACGGGTGCACGAGCTGCTCTGCTGCTGCCTACACGCTGTGAAGCCCTTGCAGGATAGATCTCGCGCTGTAGGTCAACACGACCGCATAAACCCTTCGCGCTAGTCCTTAAATTGCTTCTCACAATCAAATGCATTAAGATGCACGTTTGCAATATTTCAAATCTCTCCTTAAATATGTCACCGTGCAGAAAGGCTAAAGTCTTTAAAGTTGACCCCGGCACGGTTAGGGGCGAATGCGATGTTGGAGCCTGTGAGAAAAGCCTCTCGGATTGCAGATGTCCGCAAAGGGTTTCACGCTCTCACACCCACACAGCCGTTCAGATACACCCGGGCGACATGCAGACATATACATCATGGCCTGCGTGATCAAACACATTTATCCGCCAGATATTTAGCCTTGGGGCAAAATCCAAATGATGTCAATGCTTTGGAATTCACATAAAGAGTCCAAAGCTCAAGTAGGACATGCAGTCTGAGCAGTAGCCAGTCAATACTCCATTGTGTCTCAGCCATCTCTGTTTTCAAGCAGAGTGACATAAAGCTAATGGCATGTGAAACTCAGTTTGGACTGGGATACAGATGCTAACTTAATGCACTAATACAGTAGGAAATCTAGAACTGAAAAATCTAGAATGGAAATAGCATGCTACTTTGATATGTGATTCATGTATGTGGTATTGAGATTTTGTTGTGAACATGCTCAGTGGGACTGTATTAAGTGGTGGTGTTGTGTCTCTGTTCAGGCAGCGGACCCATCCAACTCTGGCAGTTTCTGTTGGAGCTCTTGACAGACAAATCCTGCCAGTCCTTCATCAGCTGGACTGGAGACGGCTGGGAGTTCAAGCTGTCCGACCCTGATGAGGTGAGCGATTATACAGTAAATATGGGGGGGGGGGGCATAAATAAATTAAATAAAAAATTTTATTAAAATGAATAAAAACACACAACAACAACAACAGCAAAACTCTTTATCTGAGATACATTTTATTTATTTATTTAGTTAACTGAAACCATTACAAAGAGTTGCTTAAAATAAAACATTAACTTTAATAAAATAGAAACATAAATAAATAAACTCGTTTTATATATATATGAATTATTAAATATAATTATTAAATAAATTATTAAATAAACTGAGCCAAAGTTTCTCATTTTCACTTAGTTTTCTTTATGTGCTAATATAACTAAAACTGAAATAAAAATGATATAGACATTGTTTTAATTGTATAAAATGACAAAAAACATTTCTAAAAAAAACTTACATTAAAATAAAAACTGAAAATATAAAACATTTATTAAATTTAAAATATTAATAAAAACTGTAATATTTCAATAATACTGTAATAACACTGGCACTATAGTAATAACTGAATATATCTTTGAAAAACATTGACATACTAAAATATCATGGCACAATTTGGAAATCATGTGGTATAACAGATTGACCAATAAGTTTTTTTTACATTTACATTTTATGTGTATTTTTATTTTTTACAATTCATACCATGACGATAACAGACAACAAAGTGTTTTTAATGCCCATATTACCAATATTTATTAAAAAGTTTAAATAAAACAATCATTAGAAAAACGTTGTGTGTATTGTATATGAGTTACATGTATATGTATACTAGTTGGGTAAATGCAAATGTTAAATAATGAGTGTGTAGCTGTATCAGCTGAAAACCAGCGATCGGTCTTTCTCTAGTAGCATCTGATACCATCGCTATACATTGGTACCACAACTGCAAGTAAGACAGCAGCATGCTTGCAGACGCAAATGATCTTATGGACATTGTGTGTGTTCATGATCCCGACCTGTGTCTTTCTGACCTCTAGGTGGCACGCAGATGGGGCAAGAGGAAAAACAAGCCCAAGATGAACTACGAGAAGTTGAGTCGCGGTTTGCGCTACTACTACGACAAAAACATCATCCACAAGACGTCCGGCAAGCGCTACGTCTACCGCTTTGTGTGTGACTTGAAAAGCCTGCTGGGATACACTCCCGAAGAGCTGCACACCATGTTAGACGTCAAGCCCGACACGGATGAGTAAACTTCGGACTTTGGAAATAATAAAATAAAAAAGTCCCTCACAGACCCTGGAAAGAAAACGGGGCGTCCATTTTTGGGTCCAATCACATTCCATCTTAACACTTAGTCGTGGTCCAGTCTTGTTTTGAGCTCACACGGGACAAAAAAAAGAGGAAGCGTCAAAACGTTCACCAAAGTTTAGAATCCGTAGACTTTGCGCGTCTGTATTGTTTATAGCTCTGCGGGAAGCGAAATCTCGAAGTCCAGGTCGACCCAGTAGCACAAACACCGGGAAGGAACAGAGGACAATGAGACGGACATGTCTTGGACTGAACGCTCCAGTTATTAAACACGTTGCCAAAATTAGAGACAAGAGGAATACCGCAGAAATATTAACGATTGGGTTTCTGTCTCCTTGCATACCCAACCACGAGGAAGAGTTCTCAGCCGGACCAAAATAACAAAAAGTGTTTTATTTTTTTTGATAGTTTCTATATGTGTCAGTATTAATTTGTCGTATTGCGATGCTGTCCGGACAGAGATTGCGCCGTTTTGTACGTTTTCATATGAAGGTTTATTGAAGTCAAACTGTGCTTAGATAGTCTCTCCGCTTCTTTCAAGATCACGGCTGGTTACGGCTTGTTCTTACCACAATGTCCATAGCTGAAAACGCCGTTTTTGATCACCAGATCAAAATAGATGTCAGAGTCTCGCCCTTTTCAGTTGAAAGAGATGTACCTCAGTCAAACTGAGAGTGTGAGTGAGAGACGCAAATGAAAGCGGCCGTTGGCTTCTCAACGGTGACACGCTTGTGGTGAAAACGAGGTGCCGTTTTATCACTTCTATTAAGATAAAAGACATCAGACGCTTCTTGTCTCGGTTTGTTTGTACGTGAATGGTTTTTCATAAAGTTTTGCCTTAATATAGCACACCGTCTTTATGAACATGCTGTGTTTTCTCAAGGTTGACTGAAACTGAAATGTCACTCAACCGGGCCTCAAACGGTTTAGACTGAACCGAAAGCCATAAAGCGAGGCCGTTTAACCTTGAGACAGACGTGGCCAAGTTAGCATGGCCATGCATCTGGATTGGCAAAGAACGTGAGATGGATATCGCAGCAGAAACCAAGGATCTGTCGGGCTGCGTTCGAGTTCGAGATGGTTTGCGAAAGTGTTAATGTTAGTGGCTGATGTAAGGTTAAGATAGGCGGAAGACCAGATCATGCTGAGACTTTAGGCAGCTTTAAAGATGATGGCGTGTGCTATGACTGGCCAACAAACGTCACAAGATCCAACATGGGAGTAAGTTTCACAATGGCTCAGATAAATGCAGTATTTTGCATTGAATGAGTAGACTGAATGGAGGTCAGATTCAATTTGTGTGTTCTTCAGCCCAGCATTTCACTGTGTGGGAAGTGTCTCGTACACAAGACCTTGTGGGAAAAGCCAAAGTAAAGAACGTATTGTTTCTAAGAAAACAAACCGTATTGTTTACAGTGGCAGAACGCTACCCATCCTGATTGGTGTAGCTTCGGAATTGTCTATTTTTACAGATAACATTTCATAAAACGGCTAGATTAAATGATAAACTGGGAACACATTCATGAGAGCTCAGAATAGAAGTGTTTAATTCAGAGATGAGCTGGTTTCAGTCGCAATCGTCCTGCCGTGAACAACAACAAAAGTGCTGCATCACCCAGTTTATAGTGTTAAAAAAAACGAAAGCACAACCGAAAGCCAGCGGCATGTTACATGACTTTTATTTTGTATTTTTATTTGACAAGGTCCAAATCATGATGCAGTCTTTGTCCTGATTGTAAAAGTGATGCATTGTGTGTGAAAATGAACTTTTGACAGATACATGCATGTTCATATTGACGAGTGTTGTTTTTATTTCCCCACAATTTTGCCTTATTTTGTATGTTTTGTATTTCTGTATTTGTTTTGTTAAAACGAGAATTTTAATGTATTTAGTTCACAAACATTTTGATATTTTTTTCAATAATTTATATTTTATAAACTTTGAAATATGAGATGCAGACAGCTGGTGCTTTCGTGGGGAAAACAAAAAATAAATAAAAATAAGGTAGCGCAGGACAAAATGTAGCGAGTTTTCTTTTATATGAAACGAAATAGACAGAAAAAAAAGTCAAATTTAAGGAATTTAAAGACCTGTCTGCTTATACAGTTCTGTATAGATAAGGCTGATGCTGGCCCATCATTATGTTCCGCTGGAGAGTTTTATAAACAGTAGCTTATATTATTGTACTTTAAATTGTTATGTTATTAAAATATATGTGGAGAAAATGATTCATGTGTGTCTTCGTTATTTCAAAATGAATCTTTGGCCAATGATGCCGAATCAAAGTAGCACGAAGGAAGACACACCCATAGCAACCCAACGCTCGCGCAAACACAGGTATGAAGTTGCAAACACACACAGTTATCACCTCTCAGCGCTGCAGGCTTTGCGGCAGATTTGTGGTTTTGTTTATTATGAGTCTTGGTTAAATGAGCAGCTCTTTTCTTTCATTGCTAATCATAAATACCACAGCTGCAGTTTTTCATCATCACATCACGGAAAGACAGAGGCTGCTGCCTTTGATTCTCACACTTGAGATTGGCGTGCTGCACCTCTGGCCGTCGTATGCCGGGGCTTTTCACGCGCCACAGGCTCTTCTGAGGAAGGGGACGGGAATATGTTGTGCAGCGACGACCCTAAATAAAGACCCCTGACGTAAGAACTAAAACGGGCACACTGAGTCCATTCATAAGTGTAAGCTCACAGTACAATAAATTACAAATGATAAGGGCCGTCTATTCTTTTTATGATGGCTTGTCCTTTCTGTCAAGATCTAAAGACTCTTTTTTGACTATACAAATATGGGTTTGTACTGCCAAAGCATAAAAAAAACACACATCACACATGCAATCATGTCCAAATGTATGAGGCGACACACTCAGAATAAAAGGTATAAAAGCTGTCACTGGGTCCTTTACTAAAATGTACTTTTAAAGTACTAAAATGTAGCTTTAAGGTATTAATATGTATATTTTAGGCGTACATAAGGTACAAAGATGTACCTTATTTTAGTACTTTTGTACCTTAGAGTCCCGCCCTACTTATAAGCTTTGTACCTTTTTTTTTTTTTCCTGAGAATTTAATTTAAAGCCAAAAATAAACCGGGAGTTTTAGGATTTCAAATAAAGTAAAACAAAGATACTTTGACACAGAATGAAGACCATATTTCTAGGTCACTAATCAAATAAGTGCATTTGTGTACATCATGTGACTGCTTTATACAGATGTTCAGTTGTTCTTGCTTCCTAAAAAGAAAGAGAGACAAACCAAATACTAAGCCATTTTGAAATGCATGTCAACTGTTATATAATTAGCATTGTTCTCATATCTGCGAGTAGGTTATGGATAGTAAATGGATATATGCACATATAAACTATTGGTGTGCCATTTGAGTCGGGTGTTTACACACATTGCAGGTAAGGATGGGCAATGCAATTTCTACATTTACCCCCTTTATGTTCTTAATTTTCAAAGATGTGTGCCTCGAGTTGTCCATTAATTGTTCCTACGCTGATGCATTTGATCTTGCAGGCGATTCACCAGGTACGAGTGATAGATTTCACAATTTAGCTGAAAATACGGGTCTCGCTTCTGTAAAAAGAAAGAGTCAGTGGGTTGTGCAAAATAAGACCACAGGTCAAAAAAAGAGACTTTTCAATGTTATTTTGTGTGCACTAGTTGCATACACTGTTGCTTTTTGGTAGCTAGGTCTGTGTTCTGAGTCGATAAATAGTGTTAGTCAGTCACAGTGGTCTGATATTCTGCCAAGAAGCATTTTTGATTTAGACACATATTGTATTTCAGTATGCTCTGTGTAGATGCCGTTTCTGTCTTTGACATTTGCACATAAAACATTCACGATATTCTGTCCAATTCTATTACATGTTTTGTTTTTTGTTTTTTTGGGGGCAGCACAAAATACTTGGTCTCATATACATATACATATTCTATATTTTATATATGAATATATATATATATATATTTTTTTTTTTTAAATCATGGGGCTCAAAGTAATGTTGGTCTGAGTGAGATCAATGAAAGATAAGCAACATATTACTTGCTAAAGGTAAGACTATAAACACTATACATCTGAACTGGGTCAACATGTTAGATGACAGATATCACCACACTTTCCCCATCTGATTAATCGCAGTACACTGCAACAATTATTTTGGATTACACATGTTCTGAAATTGTATGTTTAAATATGCAAATAAAGGATTATCTAATTATATATGCACTCATGTTCATTTATTCTCAGAACAGAAATCTAAAAACCCAAAGCAAGGCTCAATGTTTTTAACAATGGGATTCAACATATTTAAGTTTCCAACATATTGAAAGATGTTACGGAAGCAAAATAGCCTGAAATTAACCAGTGCATGAAAGATTTCAGCTGTAGTGTCTTGCCTTACATGTTTCAATGTCTGCAAACCCCCCCCCTAATGTCCACTACTGACCACACACATGCACGCAATGTTCAAGGCCTGTGTGTTCAAGACATCATTCAGCAGGTTCACGTTTGCAGGTGGTTCCTCTCTTGCCTTCACCTTTGTCTGCTTTAGATCTGCATGCAACAGTCATCACATGCTTCACGCACACACACACACACACTAGTGCACTTCATCTCATCATTTGTTCCTAAAGAATCTGATCTTGCTTAAAAAGAATGCCTTTGATAGGTACCTTCAATAATTATAAATCGAGTGTGTTCGAGAATCACTATGCAGTTAAAAAATGCTGAAAATGGTTGTCAGGTTACACAAACACGGTGTATCTGTGGGTTTGAAGGCACCTACAGTTGGGGATTTCAAAAGGGTAATTTTCATATCTGACTGAGGTAATTTTCCATTACGGTTGAGTGAAAAAAACGAAAGAAAGGCAGAGAAAGAAAGAAAGAAAGAAAGAAAGAAAAAAAAACTCTTTGCAAGTGCAAAAGTGTCATAAGTGGTGAAGTTAGGTGATGTCCTACGCCTGCAGACTGTTGAAGAATTTCTCTGTCTCTCTCTAGCACACACACACACACACACACACACAGAGCTTCAAGTGTCCTATGCAGGAGATGGAGGAGTGTGTGGAGTCTGAGCATAAATATTTATGCTAAAGTCTATGGCTGGCCTCAGCTGTCTCCTGTATCCTACCATCAGAGTACAAGCAGAGAAATGTCCCAAAAATGCGAAATAAAGGTGAGTGGATTTCTGCAGCATCAGCAGCAAACAGAATTGCACATATAATGACTATTTTTAAAGTTTCAATTCAAAGTAGAGGGCACACATAACTAGAAACATAACTAGAACAGGTGCATGCATGGTCAAAAAGAATCAAAATTAAAGAAATAATAAAAAGCACACCGTTTTCTCTGCAGTTATAAAATTGTAATAATAAAAATCTTCTTCAGCTGCCTTGTTTGGGTTGAAACATAATATATCAAAGGAATAATTCACCCAATCTGTTCATTGGAACCAATTAAAACATTTTTTTACATTACTCGCTCGCCAATGGATGCTCTGCAGTGAATGGGTGCCGTCAGAATGAGAGTCCAAACAGCTGATAAAAATGATCCGCACCACTCCAAGGAACAAATACATAAGCCAAAACAATGCTCAACAAATATGTTGGTGGATTTGGATGTAAGAGACAACAGCAGATGGACTTTTTCACTTGGATTATGGATTATGGACTTGCATTTTGGACAGAACCATGGGTTGGACGTATCTTGATGGATGCGTTTCTTAGAAACACGCAGCTTTTCACTTCACACGATATTAATTGATGGACTGTAGATTACTTGTGGATGATTGTGATGTTTTTATCAGCTGTTTGGACTCTCATTCTGACGGCACCCATTCACTGCAGAGGATCCCTTGGTGAGCAAGTGATGTACTCACAGTGGCTCTAGTAACCATTTCACAATAAGTTTCTCCAGTTCTGATCGTGGCGACTGAATCTGAATCTTTCAGTGCATGTAAACACATCTGATGACTTCTGACTGAACATCTGCATGATTTTTATGTCACTACCGCCTGGTCCCATCAGTGGAGATGTGAGGCTATCTGTGCTCCAAAAGCCAATCTTATTGTGATAAATTAGCTCACAAAATGCACCATGTATCCTCGTGAGGAGCTGGAGAGAGAGATGGCCCTCATGACGCATGTTAAGCTCCTCTCACTGGTTCCATTACGCCAGAGCTTGTGAAATACGAGCCCATTCCTGGTTCCCCAATGTCCCCTTCATAACAGCATTTTCTATTCTGGGCTCATTGTCCTGAACGGTCGAATCTGGTTCGGGTCAATATTACCAGGGATCAGTAACACTGTCTGGGGACTTCATTACAGCCCCATAACCGATCCTATTGAACTATCAGTGTCTGATCTATCTCTATTCTCATGGTTTCAGCGATGACTCGTGATCTGCTTACAAATGATCATCTTTATTTGAACTCATGTACTGTAAGACTTTGGGTAAATGTGCCAAATGCTTTTAAAATAAATTTTTTCATCTAGAAATATTTGTTTACTCAGAATTGTACATGGTGGCTTTAGTTAGTTTGTTTGTTTTAATATCAGATATTGAAATGGAAAATTATTCTAATTATGACATCTCTTAAAAATAAACACATTAATGGGTTGATCTATTAAGTTATCACAATAAACATATTAGCTATTCTGTTCAAATGCAAATAAAAAATCTGTTACAAATATGAAAATGATTTAACTAAGACACTTTGGTAAAAAAAAATAGATCAATTAAAATAAATAAATAAATAAGTAAGTACATAAATAAATAAATAAATAAATAAATAAATAAATAACCTTAGACATTAATGGGTTAATACACTCATTTATGTTCACAATAAATATATTAGT